AAAAAAAAGGGATTGTGGTGTGGCCATCCCCCCTCAGGAGTGATTTCTTGCTTTCTATCTCTCTGTCTCTCTGGCAAACGCAAGTGCCTATAGCAAAAATCTCTTACAAAAAAGAAAAAAAAAAAAACTTCCTTTATAGTGCCGACAGGTGGCATGAAGTTTGAGGCACTGGATCCAACATGGCTGATTGCGGGGTTCAAGTCCTGGACCAGGAGGCTTGAAAATCATGCCGGGCAAGTGTGTGCATATGTGCCCAAAATTCCAAAAGGAGACTGGAGAAGGGATTGCAACATGGCCATCCTCCCTGGGGATCTGTCTTTCTCCAGCAAGTGCATGTACCTGATAGCAAAATAATAATAATAATAATATGGGAACCAGCAGTTAGCGTAATGGCTATGTCGCTGGACTCCCACGTAGTCGACCGCGGTTCGTGTCCCGGACCCGGTGGCTTAAAACTCACACCGGGCGCGTGTGCGTGCGTGCCCAAGATCCCGAGAGGAGAATGGAGGAGAAGGGATTGCAGCATGACCATCCCCCCTGGGGGGTGATTTCTCGCTTTCTGTCTCTATGTCTCTCTCTGTCTGTCTGGCGAACGCACGCGCCCTACAGTGAAAATCTCTCCAAAAAAAAAATAATAATAATAATAGAAATAAAACACTTGCTTTATGACCCAGGATTTGCTCAATTTTTTAAAAAATGTGCCAGTGTAATCGAGAACAATGGGTATTCTGTAGTCAATGAGTCCAGTGTACTAAATACATGTACTCAGTCATAATCACTCAATAGTGTGTCCAAAATGTCTGTACCCTGACTTCCACGTGTCTGCTTGATCAGTTACTCAGAGAGATGTGGCACAATCTCTTACTATGAATGTATGTTTATTTTTTCTTGTACTTCTAAAATTTTTATTTTATGTATTTTGTGGCTATATTATTCAGGGTATGTATATTTACTATTGATGTATTTTACTATAAAATTGAACGTTTATCATTAGGAAGGGACTCCCTTAATCTCTAATGACATTTGCTATTATTAAGTATACTTTTTTTTTGGAGAGGTTTTTGCTATAGGGCTTGTGCACTCGCCAGACAGACAAGAGAGAGACAGAAAGCCAAGAAATCACCCCCCAGGGGGGATGGCCACGCCACAATCCCTTCTCCTCCATTCTCCTCTTGGGATTTTGGGCACGCACACACACGCCCACATTTTAAGCCACCAGGTCCAGGACGCGAACCATGGTCGACCATATGGGAGTCCAGCAACATAACCATTACGTAAGCTAACTGCTGGTCCTTTATTAAGTATACTTTTTTCTGTTTTGTTTTGTTTTGTTTTGTTTTTTAGAATTATTTCTTAGAATTATTACCATTAGTTTTCCATTTTGACCAAAGAGAAAGAGAGAGCAAGACGCCAGGCCTGGAACTCTAGCTGCAATGGGCTCTGTGGGAGTCCAGCGTCCTTAACCACCACGCCACCTGCCGGCCCCTATTAAGTGTACTTCTATAATAATTATTTTGGTTAGAATGTCTTATCTATCTTCATCTTGTTTCAGATATGTCTTGGGGGCATATAGCTGGATTTTCTGTTTTATTCTGTCTGGAAGTTTTTATCTTTTATGAATAACAAGATAATTTGTCTTTTGCATATAATATTCTCTGCAACATACCTATATTCATCACGAACCATTGATTTTATGCTCTTTCCTAGTTTAGTTGTTCTGGGAGGTTTTTTCAATCTCCTTTCCTGCCCTCTTTTACATTTTTTTTCCACATTTTCCCCATTTATAAGGTTAGGAGCTATCATCTCCGTTCCTGAGGAGTTTATCTCAAAATTACAGCAGTTGTAGGAGAAACACTGTCTTTACTTGGCCATTTTTCATCTGGGAGTGTTAGATAATTATACCCTCTGAATCTGTAGTTACGTAACCTTTCTTCTTTCTAGGGCATCTACATTTCCTTTATTTCTCCTTCGTATTTATTGTATTAACCTTTCTGGAGAATCGGATTTTTCTTTGATTGATCATAGCTACATGTTTGTTTACAAATCCATTCATTTTAGCTTGCATTTTTATAAATGTCTTCCTCCTCTTTTAGAGTATTGACTGTACTTTTTCAAGCTTCTGGAGTTACTTTTTCAGCTTATTTCAAGTCAGCTTTTCCGATTTTTTTAATGAATGCTCTTAAGGCTCTCTACATTGCCCCCTGAGAACTATTTAGTCCATCCCACAACTGCAGTATGCGTGGCTCTTATTGTTCATTTTGAAATCACTTAACTTTTTTTTTTTTAGGTTTTTGCCATAAGGTATGTGCACTCCCCAGAGAGGGACAGAGAGACAGAGGGAAAGTGAGAAATCACCCTTCAGAGGGGATGACCATGCTGCAATCCCTTCTCCATTCTCTCATAGGATGTGGGGCACACATGCACATGCAACCAGTGTGATTTTCAAGCTACTGGGTCTGGAACTCAAACCGTGGTCTGCCATGTGGGAGTTCAGCACCTTAACCACTACACCACCACTGACCCCGTCACTTAACTTTTTAATTTCTATTTTCTCGCTTTTTTTTTTTTTTTTTTGAGAGGTTTTTGCTATAGGGTATGTGTACTCGCCAGAAAAACAGAGAGAGACAGAAAGCGAGAAATCACCCCCCAGGGGGGATGGCCCGCCGCAATCCCTTCTCCTCCCTTCTCCTCTCAAGATCTCGGGCAAACATACACATGTGCCCGGTGTGAGTTTAAGCCACCAGGTTCAGGACTCGAACCGCGGTCAACTACATGGGAGTCCAGCAACATAGCCATTACGCCATCTGCTGGTCTCTCTATTTTCTCTTAAACTCAGAAGTATTGAAAAAGATGGAGAGAAAATTTATATATGGGTAATCTTTTTTGGCTGTATTTTTGTGTTCATTTCTAATCGTATTTTGTTGTAGTCCTATCATTGTTCCTTTTTGAAATTAGTTGAGGTCATGGGGCCGGCAGGTGGTGTGGTGGTTGAGGGTGTTGGACTCCCACATGGTCAACCATGGTTCAAGTCCCAGACCTGGTGGCTTGCTTTCTCACTTTCTCTCTCTCTATCTCTCTGATCAAATTAAAAACAAAGTTAAATAAAATAATTCTAAAAAAAAAAATAAAAATTAGTTGAGGTCTTGTTTATGGGTGAATACTTGTCAACTTTTATTAATAATTTCGTGTCTGTAAAGCCGTATTCAGTATGTATTAACTCCCATCCTCAGTTATTGAGTCCACTGATTCTGCTGTTCCTCTTCTTCTTCTTTTTTTTTTTTTTTGGAGAGATTTTCACTGTAGGGCGTGTGCGCTCGCCAGACAGACAGAGAGAGACATAGAGACAGAAAGCGAGAAATCACCCCCCCAGGGGGGGATGGTCACGCCGCAATCCCTTCTCCTCCATTCTCCTCTCGGGATCTTGGGCACGCACGCACACGCGCCCGGCGTGAGTTTTAAGCCACCGGGTCCGGGACACGAACCGCGGTCGACTACGTGGGAATCCAGTGACATATCCATTACACTAACTGCTGGCTCCCTGCTGTTCCTCTTCTATGGTGTGGGTTTTCCTCACACGTTTGGTGATTCTCTGTTCATTGTACCTATTACGTGTTTGTGGACATGGCTTCTGTTCACCATAATGAACGCAACAGACACCAGTGAATTTTATTCAAAGTTTTTGGGGTTTTCTTTTACAGATATTTTTGCCTTAGGGTGTGTGCGCTCATCAGAGAGACAGACAGGAACAATGAGAGGGAAAGTGAGAAATCACCTCTCAGGGAAAATGGCCATGCCATAATTCCTTCCCCTCCAGTTTCCTCCTGGGATCTTGGGCACACACGCACACATGCCTGGCATAATTTTCAAGTCATCTGGTCCAGTACTTGAACTGTGGTTCGTCATGTGGGAGTCCAGCAACATAACTACTACACCATCTGCTTGCCCCTCATTCAAAGTTTTTAAATGGATCATGGTGGTCCTGCTTCTGGGCATATTGCTGTAAGTAGAATGGTCTCCAATAACAATGTTATTTTTCAGGTGCCAGGTGGCATGATGGCTAAGGAACTGGAATTCCCACATGACCGACTGTGGTTCAAGTCCTGGACCTGGCGGCTTGCTTTCCCTCTCTCTCTCTCTCTCTCTCTCTCTCTCTGGGACGTAGGGTGATGTTTGCAGGGGTGGGGAGATCGAAACTCATGTCATTTCTGCAGTTTGCAGGTATTCTTGTCAACTTTTTTTTTAAGTAAAAAAGAGAAAAATACTTTAGCATTCTATGAATTGTCTGGTTATTGATTAGGAATGAGGAGGGGCTGGATGGCATTAGGAAGTCTTGAGCAGGCAGCAAGGTATCATGGGAATTGCATGGGCTTTGGACCAGATGGCCTGGGTTAGGAATCTAGCTTTGTTATTAATAGATATTTGAGTCTGGGCAAGTTAGTCTGTTCTCTGAGTCCCTATTTTCCCTTCTGGGACTCAGAGAACAGACTAACTTGCCCAGACTCAAATATCTATTAATAACAAAGCTAGATTCCTAACCCAGGCCATCTGGTCCAAAGCCCATGCAATTCCCATGATACCTTGCTGCCTGCTCAAGACTTCCTAATGCCATCCAGCCCCTCCTCATTCCTAATCAATAACCAGACAATTCATAGAATGCTAAAGTATTTTTCTCTTTTTTACTTAAAAAAAAAGTTGACAAGAATACCTGCAAACTGCAGAAATGACATGAGTTTCGATCTCCCCACCCCTGCAAACATCACCCTACGTCCCTCAGACACCATCTGTTCCCCTTCCCATAAAATCCTACGTGAAAATCCCCCAGAAGGTGGAGGAAGTCCCCAGGTGGGAGCATTCCCAATCCCAGACCTCTCTGGCAGGCCAAGGCGCCGAGGAAATAAATTAGGGGGAGAAGGCGCTCCTAGGCGGCCTTGCCCAGCTCTGTCTCACACACCCAGCGGTAAGGCCTCTGGCAGACGTCATCGTTCCAGCGGCCATCGTCAGTGAAGTGCGCACAGTCCTCGCCTCCTCCCAGCCCGTGCCCATACCAGTCGTCTGGCTGCTCTGGTCTCCAGTTTCTGAGGGCACGAGACAGCTGTGGGCCTCTGGAGGTCAGGCCCTCGGCTATGTCCCCATGACCACCACCCCAGTCGACCACCCTGGGGCCACAGGTTGGGAAGGCAGACCCCTGGGCCCAGAGGGAGGTGAGCAGCCGGAAGGCACACACACTCACTTGAAGCCTGTCTCATAATCCGTCTCATCCACCCACTTCCAAGGCCCGCTCTGGTCCGAGAGTCCCATCCAGGTGTTCACAGGACCTGTGTGGTGCTGGACAAATTTCTGCGGAGAGAGGAGTGTGCTGACCTCTCCCTTACACCTGTCAGCTTCCCTGATGCACCCTCTGGGCCTCACCTGCTCTTCCCAGGAGGTGACCACCACCAGGTGCGAGTTCTCCAGCTGGCAGTACTTATCCGCCTCGTGCCAGGACTTCCCGGAGCGGGAGAACCAGTAGCAGCTGCCCTCGTGCTCCACCCAGTTAACGGGGCAGCAGGTGCTTGCGGAGGCTGAAGGGGAGGAGAGAGAGCCAAGAGGCTGAGGGGCTGTGGGGCGGGCGGTGGGCAGGACGAGGGCCTGGAGCCCCGCCTCCTCACCATTGCCCTGGAGGACCGCCATCTGACAGCTCAGGCTGCGCAGGTCAGACACGAACTGCTTCACGTGGAGCATCAAGCTGGAGTGATCTGGGAGACAGAGGACAGAGCGGTCGGAAGGGCGAGAGGGCGCCGAAAATGAGGTTGAGGTCGGCGTGAACAGTGTGGAGAGGGGTCTGTCCTCTTCCTGCTGGGACCCGAAGACCAATTGCCGATGCCCCTGCCACAAGATAGACACCTGCAAGACTCCCACCTACCTGCACCCCCCCCCCCCACCCACACACACACACACTCTCACCTTCACTCAGGTCCTGCTGCTGTTTCTCCAGCTGGGACTCCAGCAACTTCATCTTCCTCCCCGCGCTGCCCCCTGCAGGGAGACTTGCTCAGTGTCCCATCCACACCACCAGCCCCTACCCCTGCCCCAGCGCCAGCCCCACTCACCCTGGGTGCTCAGGGTCTTGATCTCAGCCTCGGTGCTCACTGTGAAGTTGCTGAGCGTCTCTTTCAGGGCATGCAGCTCGGACTGCAGCTGGGAGTCTGGGCAGGAGAGGGCGTGGACAGGACAACACGAGGGTCTTGCCTCCCCACTCCTCTCACCACACCCCCAGTATTGCTCCCCTCCCCGCCCACCCCTATGTCACCCACTTTGGGATCCAATCACACCGACGACCACCAGCAGCAGGAGGCTGAGGCCCAGGGAGAGCAGGAGGAGGCGGGGGCCGGAGCAGAGGCGCCGCAGGACCGGCTGGGAAGCAGGAGGCGCTGCAAGAGGAGGGGGCGTCACAACCCAGGGACAGCCCCGGGGCTTGGGAGGGGAGTTGCTCAACTCCTCCAGCAGACTAGGAAGAACCATCTAGATTAAGAAATCTGGGCACAGGGTGACCGGAGGCCAGAGGCACCTGCGAGCGAGGAAGTGGCTCCGCGGGTGGCAGCGCGTGATCTCACCCTGACCCCCTGGGTCCCCAGCCTCTGCCGACACCTAACGGCAGGAGGGGGGCGCAGCTGCTGACACGCAGCCCAGGAGAGCCTCGGGGAAGGAATGGCCCACCGTCGCTGCTCTCGCCTGAAGGTGGAGGAGGCTTCTTGCTCTCTCCAAGAATCCCACCCGTCTTTGACTTCGTTCAAGGAGAGAAGTTACAGTACCCAGAATCGGAGTCCTCAAGCCGCTCCCACCAGGCAGAAGAAAACCAGTCCTATCCGCTGTGAGCTGGCATAGGGGGGCCCTCTGCCCTGCAGCCCTGCCCGCATCAAAGTGCACTGTCCAGCCCAGCACCGCCCCCAACGGAGAACTCTGTTCTTGCCCAGCCTACACAGACTCTGCTCAGAGGACTAAGTGGTGTCCAGGGGGACTTTTTTGGATGCAGCAGGGCTATGTCTTGCCTCCAATCAGAGACCCCTTCAGCCTCCCTCACAGACATCCTCACCCTCCTTACAGAAACTTTCCTCCTCGATCGAACTAATCCCTGACACCTCCCCACGCATATGCATGTACGCATGCACACACATGACACACACATGCACACACACGTGTGCAGCCAAGGCGTCCATTTGTTGGAGAAGAAAGGAAAAGGGGGCCTAGCTTCATAAAAAAGTCACTGTTTGAAAATCACATGGCAGGAGTGGAGAGGTGGCATGGTGGTCCAAGAGCCAGACTACCACGTGAGAAACCCACGTCCGTGTCCCAGACCTGGCGGCTTGCTTTCTTTCTTTCTCTCTCTCTCTCTCTCTCTCTCTCTCTCTGTCTCTCTCGGGCGAGCCCATGTACCCTATAGCAAATTTAAATAATAATAATAATTAATAAAATTATATATTTAAAAGAAGAAGAAAGGAAATCACACAGGGCGCATGTATGTGTCTGCCCCAAATCCCGAGAGGAGCATGGAGGAGAAGGGACTGCAGTGTGGCCGTCCCCGGGGGGTGATTTCTCACTTTCCCTCTCAGTGTCTCTCTGTTTCTCTCTGGGGAGCACACATGCCCTATGGCAAAAACCTTTTAAAAAGAAAAGAAAATGAAGTGGGCACTGGAGACATCTCTCCAGCCTTCTGCTATTCCCACACACGCCTCCTCCCAGGGCCTGAGACGTGGGCCCCATGCGAGGGTCGGGAGCCCTCTGAAGCCTTGGGTGCTTGTCAAGAAAGAGTCGCTTTTCCGTGTGAGTGAGAAGGAGCCAGAGCCAGAGCCGGGGGGAGCGGAGACCCGGGGGCTGGCGCCACCGCACGCACCTTTCAGACGAGAAAAGAGCCTCCCTCACCTTTCCTGACTTGAGGGTGGTCATGCTCGTCGTTGTCCAGGTGTTGGAGATCTTGATACTCCTTCGTCATGGCGGGGCGGCGCTGGGCCTGGGACTGAGTCAAGGCTGAGTCAAGTCAGGGCTGGGATGGGGCTGAACGCAGCTGGAGTGTGGGCTCTGAATCCTTTGAGTCCGGTGGGAGGCTCCAGGGAGACCTAGCTTCTTTCCTCCATCCCCTCCCAGGCCTGACATCCCAAACCTGTCTTCTGAGGTCCCCTCCCCCCAGCCCATGCACCCAGGTCCCCCCACCGGCTCCCTGAGACCCCTCAGTCGGTCCCTGCCCCTCTTCCCATTTTACTTGCTGAAGGTCCTGCAGTCTGACTCCCGAGTCCCTCAATGCCGTGCGGTTCCCAGGCTAAGGAAGGTGCTGAAGCCTGGAGAACGGGGGTGGGTGGACGGCCCTGGGTGGTGGTGGGGGCAAGTCCACACGGACAAGTCCGTGTGTCCGCGTGTCTGTGTATCTGTGCATGCTGAACTGGCATCCCCAGTGCCTAGGACTTTGGACAGTAAACAGAGTTGGAAATGGATTTGGAACTTGGGGATGTGTGGGGGTGGGAGTGGGGGTGGGTTGCCTCTGCTCTCCTCCCCCAGGGAGGAGGAGTCTCCTGGTCTGACACCCGCCAGGCTCCCACACCCCAGACATCTCGCTGGGAGGGGAGCCAGGACTGGCAGGACTGGGGGTACAGTTCGTTATTTCCCCTCTGTCCCTCCCCCGTCACTTCCTGCCTCGGAACTTCCCAGAATTGTTGGTGTCTCCAAACATCCCTGACCAGGATCAGAGGGACCGGCCCTCGGCTCTTGCCCAATCTAGGCCTGTGACCTGGCTGTCTGCACTGCAGGCCCAGCTCCCTGTGGGCTCTGACCCAGGATCCCCAGCTCTGGCTGGACTGCTTCGCCCTCCTGGGGATTGGGAAGTGGAGCCTCCCTAGGGGTGCCCACGAGGCTCCCCCGCTGTGCCCAGGGCTCACTCATTTGCTCCTTTCGTTGTCCTCAGAGCAGATGAGCAAGGGGAGGCCCTGGCAGAGGGCTTGCCCAGGGTCACGCTGCAAGGGCAGGCCGGAGAGAGCACTGGAATGTGGCAGCGTGGCTCTGGGCCCCGTGTCCTGCCCCCAGAGCCACTCCTGAAGCTTCCAGAGATGCCGGTGTCCCGCAGCCCCCAGGGGCCTTAGAGACAACCGTGTGAATTCAGAATCCGCTAACTTGGAAAGTGGGCGATATTAAAGACGCCAGTAAGTCTTGCTTTAGGCCCCGAAGGTGAAGTCAGGCGAATCATCATTTCCATGAGCAAACTAGGCTTGAGTCCCTGGAGTTGTAGGTTAGCTGAGATGGTCAGGAACCCATCCCTGGCATAAAATGCGACAGCTTTGTGTGTGCCCTCCTTTGTGTCCTAAAAACCCCCTGCCGCTTGCATGTACTGGGACTGTCGCCAGTGATTCTGGTGACTATTGGTCTGTTAATTTAGCCTTCTCTGATAGTACTGTTGGACTCTGGTTTATTCCAGCTACACTGTTGCTTTCAAAATTGTGATTGCCCGGGGTCAGCAGATGGCGTAGCAGTTACTTCGCTGGACTCCCACATGGCCAGCCATGGTTCGAGTCCCAAATCTGGTAGCTTGAAAATCATGCCAGCCCAGGGCCAGTAAGTGCCATGGGGGTTAGGGGCACTGGACTTCCACATGGTTAACTGTGGTTCAAGTCCTGGACCTGGCAGCTTGCTTTCTCGCTTTCTCTGTATATCTGTCTGTCTGTCTCTCTCTCTCTCTCTCTCTGTCCCTCTCTGGTCAAATCGAAATAAATAAATAAAGGTAAATAAAATAATTATTTTTTAGAGGTTTTTGCTATAGGGCCTGTGCGCTTACCAGACAGACAGAGAGAGACAGAGAGACAGAAAGCGAGAAATCACCCTCCAGGGGGGATGGTCACGCCACAATCCCTTCTCCTCCATTCTCCTCTCGGGATCTTGGGCACGCATGCACACACGCCCGGCGTGAGTTTTAAGCCACTGGGTCTGGGACGCGCCGGGCGCGTGTGCGTGCGTGCCCAAGATCCTGAGAGGAGAATGGAGGAGAAGGGATTGCGGCATGACCATCCCCCCTGGGGGGTGATTTCTCGCTTTCTGTCTCTATGTCTCTCTCTCTGTCTGGCGAGCACACGCACCCTATAGCAAAATCCTCTTAAAAAATAATAATAATTTTTAAAAAAGCATACCGGCCTGTCTGTGTGCCCGAGATCCCAGGAGAAGAGATTGTAGTGTGGCCATCATCCTTGGGTGTTGATTTCTCACTTTCCTTCTCAATATCTCTCTCTCTCTCTCTCTCTCTCTCTCTGGTGAGCACACATACTCTAAGGCAAAAACCTCTAAGAAAAAAAAAAAAGTGGTTGCCCTCAAAGTAGTGACTGGAAGGGAACCCAAGGGGCCCGTAGGAGCCAGGGAAACGGTCAGCCTCCTGTCTGCGTGCTGGTTACACGATGGTGTGCAGCTTGGAAACTGCAGAACGCCGTACACCTATGGCCTGCTTATTTTTCTGTTTGCATGTAATACTGGAATAAGGCATTGTGAAATCTGGCTTCTACTCTATCACCACGTTCCCCGAACATTGATTAGGGAGTGGTGCTTGAAAACATTCTCCAAAGCCATAAGTTTAGAGTGAAAGTCAGCGGGACACAAGCCAGGTAAATGGCACTGAGCCCCAGGCCACTGATTTACCAGGAAGCCCCCTCCAGGCTACCAGAGGTAAGGACGCGCAGGTGCCAGCCCTGGGTCTCACATGCTCAACTTTGAGATTCAAGACTCGGAACCAGCAGTTGACAGTCTCACCAGCTACGTATGCATATATGCCCAAAATCCCAGAGGAGACTGGAGGAAGAGGGATTTCAGTGTGGCCTTCCCCCCGGAGGGGTGACTTCTCACTTTCCCCTCTGTTTCTCCCTGGCAAGTGTATGCATCCTATAGCAAAATCTAAAACAAAAACAAAAAACAGAGGGGGGGCGGGGAGGGCAGCAGATAGCGGACTCCTATGTAGTTGATCACGGTTCAAGTCCCACACCCAGCAGCTTAAAACATGCTGGGCGCGTGTGCATGCGTGCCCAAAATCCTGACAGGAGAATGGAGGGGTAGGAATTGCGGTGTGGCCATCCCCCTAGGGGGTGATTTCTCACTTTCTGTCTCTCTGTCTCTTTGGTGAGCGCACATGCCCTGTAGCAAAAATCTCTCTCTAAAAAAATTAAAACAATGAAAAAACAGGGACTGGCAGGTGGCTTAATGGGTAAGGAAGTCCCACATGGCAGACTACGGATGGAGTCCTGGACCTGGCAGCTTGCTTTTTCACTTTCTCTCTCTCTCTCTCTCTCTCTCTCTCTGGTCAAATTTAAATAAACAAATAAATAAATAAATAAAGTTAAACAAAATCATTCTTTTAAAAAATAAATAATGAAAAAACAAAAAGTAGCTAAAAGCAAAACCATGCCACAATAGTGGTTGGTGTATTCTGAGAATTTGCGCATATTTTGTGTTATTCCTTTAAGACTATATGCCCTTGGGGCCGACAGGTGGAGTAGGGGTTGACTCCCACACAGTCAACTATAGTTCAAATCCTGGACCTGACAGCTTGCTTTCTCACTTTCTCTCTCTCTCTCTGGTCAAATTTTAAAAATAATAAAATAGGGACCAGCAGATGGTATAATGGTTATGCTGGGCTCCCACATAGTCGACCGTGGTTCGAGTCCCACACCCGGTGTCTTAAACTCATGCTGGGCGCATGTGCGTGCACGCCCAAGATCCCAAGAAGAGAATGGCAGAGGAGGGATTGTGGCGTGGCCATCCCCCCCTGGGGGGTGATATCTCGCTTTCTGTCTCTCTGTCTCTGTCTCTTTGGCGAGCGCACATGCCCTATAACAAAAATCTCTCTCAATTAATTAATTGTGAATAAAATTAAATTAAACAGTCCTTTAAAAAAAAAAAAAGCTATATACCCTGAATTGAGAACGATAACAATTTAAGGTCAGGGACAAAGTGCCATGTACTCATTTGGTGTTGCTGGGTAACAAAGTACCACCGACCTAGTGGCTTCAGACAACACCTGCTCGTGAGCTCACAGTCACAAGTCCAAGCAGAGGTGCACTTGCTCAGAGTCGGGCAATCAAGACCAACAAGCTGGCAGGACTGTGTTCCCTTCTGGAGGCGCAGGCTCGGTCAGGTAGCTGACAGGCTCCAGGCCCTGCAGCGTGAAGCTGGCGCCATCAGCCAGGGGCTGCTGTCTGCTTCCACTATCCTGCCAGGATCTTGGACAGACATACACACACCCAGTGTGATTTTGTGTGTGTGTGTAAGAGAGAGAGAGAGAGATTTTTCCTGTAGAGTGCATGTACTCGCCAGAGAGACAGAGAGACAAAAAGTGAAAAATCATGCTCCTCCCCTACCCTAGGATAGGGGCGAATGACCACACCACAATCCTTTCTCCTCCACTTTTCTCTTGGCACTTTGGGTACGCATGCACGTGTGCCCAGCATGGGTTTCAAGTCACTAGGTCCAGAACTAGAACCACAATCAGTCATTTGGGAATCCAGCAACATAACCGTTATGTCATCTGCTGGTCCCGCACCTGGAGTGATTTTGAAGCCACTGGGACCAAGACTTGAACCATGGTAGGCCATGTGGGAGTCCAGCAATGTAACTGCTATACCATCTGCTGGTCCCAAAATAAATAATTCTAAAAAAAAATTAGGCCCACTTGGAAAATCTTCCTAACATAAGGTCAACTGTTTACATAACGTGTATATAGTTATATGTATGTATGTATTCACATGTGTACATAAGGTCAACTACATGTAACATTGTCATGAGAGTGACAGCTCAGCACAGTCACAGGTTCCAGGGACTAGAGCACAATCTCCATGCAAAGTGGCCATCCTTTCTCCTCTAAGTACACTTTCCTGGGAATGCAAGAATGACCCAAGAGCAAATTCACCCCTATGTCTGACCCTCTGCCCTTTCCCACCCTCTTTTCACACCATCTCTGGTGTCTACAGTTGTCTTCTATTCCTTTACCCCCCACGTTTTATTGATCACACAATTTCTTAAATAATCTAACTACTTTCAATAGCAAGTTCAGCTGATAATTTCAAGAAAAGCACTTTTAACTTAAATCAAAGAAATCCTAAGTAACTTTGCTTAAAACTTAAAGGAGTCCTGGACCTGGCAGCTTGCTTTCTCACTTTCTCTCTCTCTCTCTCTCTCTCTCTCTCTGGTCAAATTTAAATAAACAAATAAATAAATAAATAAAGTTAAACAAAATCATTCTTTTAAAAAATAAATAATGAAAAAACAAAAAGTAGCTAAAAGCAAAACCATGCCACAATAGTGGGTGGTGTATTCTGAGAATTTGCGCATATTTTGTGTTATTCCTTTAAGACTATATGCCCTTGGGGCCGACAGGTGGAGTAGGGGTTGACTCCCACACAGTCAACTATAGTTCAAATCCTGGACCTGACAGCTTGCTTT